TAGTTAACTATCTGTATCTTAGATTAGCATTACCTTCCACGGTCTTCACCTCATCTGACTTTGAGCAGTCCTGTATGGAGGACAATTCAAAAGGTTGGGATTACAATTTAGACATAACACAGTATCCTCACACTGCCAGGTGTTAATATTTAAACCTTCTCTCACCACCCCAATCAGTCCCGGGTCAGTTTCAGTCTGTTTCACCGTCACCTGGATCACTGAACTGGGACGCTTCCGAGCCAACGTAGTCATGGCAACACTGTCAGGGACTGTGCTGCTCTTCCTAACGGCCAAAGACATGAGATGAAAACAGACACAGTTAAGTAAGAATGTGAATAATGTAGCACATTTTTTAAATACAGTGATGTACAGGTTAGAGATACAGATGAATAAAGAACACACAAATATACTGCTTTATACATGTAAATGAATTAAAACTCAATTTTAGTCCCAATGCAGTTAAAGAAAAACTCTAAAAACTGATGTAAAGACATTTTTTTGTTTATTTTTTAAAGCTGTTTACAGACTAACCCTAATGGTAAACACATAATCACCTGCTGATTTACTACGATTGTATGAGCTGGGTCACCAAGAGGTGGAGCAGGATTCAAAAGTGCAGAGACATAAGAAACGGCAACACTTTGAAGTGCTATATTTGTGATAAGCAATACTTTAAAATTAGAGAAAAGGAACCTTTGAAGAGCGTCTCAGGATTTCCGCCACAGAGAGGCCTAAGAGGTCTAAATTAAGTTCTAATAGAAATATATTACCCTCAAAAAGTCCCTTCTCAGCGGTCAGGGCTTTCTGAAAGTTCAAAAACTTGAGCTTGTGGAGCTCAAAGTGCCAAACAGTTCCAAAGGTCATACGTACAATTGCTAGAAAAAATATGCTTGATTATTTTAGAGGAGGTGTTTCAAACATTTTGTGCCCAAAGTCTACCAAAGGGCAAATCAAAATTTCAGCATGCATCGTATCTGCCTTAAACAGTATCTCTATCATCTAAATTCTTCTGTCTCTTTTGGACTGTACTGTACGACTAAGGAAATCCTGGAAGCCCATTTGAAGCATCTAGACTTAGCATAAAACCCCTTTGCAAGAGTGTTGCCTTTAAGTTTCTTTTGCTTTGCAATAAGCTCGACAAGCGTATGTCTTTCACACAATCAAGTATCCTTTGCTGCCCCCAATTCAGGTCCAGAGTTGTTTTGATCTTTCTCTAAGAAGGGATGTTTTTCTGCCTCACAGCAGACTGTTTGGGAACTGCTTTAAAGTGTACTGCAGAAATGGCTGATTACATTTTTTAACACAACATCACACTTTGCCCTCTCATTCCCAGTTCAACAAACCAGACAGAGAGAGAGAGACGGAGAGGCTGGAGAGTGGTAGTCAAGTGAAATAAAAGGTGAATGAACAGAGGGAGCAGCATTAATGGAAAATCAGAAGTAAAGCAGAAGTAAAATATGGGTTTTTTTTATACTGGGTATGTTCTGAAATACAAATAAATATGCTCACACCTCCACTCAACCCTGCAGGAAGGTGCCAAATTGAGTGTGTGTGTGTGTGTGTGTGTGTGTGTGTGTGTGTGTGTGTGTGTGTGTGTGTGTGTGTGTGTGTGTGTGTGTGTGTGTGTGTGTGTGTGTATGCATGCTGCTTGTCAAACAAACAGCCAAGATGTAACCTGGTCGCTACGATTTTATATAAAGTTTCACATGTAAAAGCCATAAAACAGCAATTGATACATCAGCGGACAGAGAAAAAATTAACAGTGTGAAGAAATCCTGCAAGTTCCTTGGGAGGGAAATTTCGAGGAACAAGTACCTACTAAAACGTTGCAAGATGTCAACTGATTTGGAGTCTATAGTTGACATAAGTTAGCAGAGACAGAGACAGTCTATGGAACTCATTACATCATTTACAGTGCACCATTTTTAAAGGTGTATTTTAAATTCTATTTTAAATTCTAAAACACACTGACTCTTACAGATGAAAAAGTAGAAAGAAATACTTTCGTTTGTATTTCCTTTTTCATCTCAACTCAATTAAATGTAACACATTCACACAGAGAACAAGATTTTTTTTGTCTCTGTGCAGATCAAGTGTCTCAGTGAAGGGGCTGACTGAAGATCACTGACCTCTCCTCATTAGCTCGCTCACTCACCAAAACTGTACTTTGAGTCTTTGAAATGAAGTAGAGAGAGTGCATCCCACTTTGAGACACTTGATCATGAAAGTAATCCCATCTCAGACAGAGAGAGAAAAGCACAGAGACACATAAAGAGAAAGAAAGGCGGGACTAAAATGGAGAGTGATGCTTGGCTATGTTTAGTATTGGTGGTATTATTTTAAAATTGGGTCTCAGGCCTAAATGTATAATTTCATGTTAATAATTAAGCTGTGTCATTAGGGATTTATACCTCTGGCCTAGATCTTGTGTTGGTTATCCGAGTAGGGGAGCAGCTCAAGGCACAAGGAAAATTTTTTCTTGGTAGTTATATATTTACAGCTATTTCATATTTATCCCACTCACTGCATTTTTGGTTTTTACCTGATGCTGGGGGGCAGGCAAGAATCTGAGGCATTACTTTTCTTCTCCTGAGCTTTGCTGAGGTCAGAAAGGCTGCTGCGGACCACTGCCTCGCCCTCGTCGAACATCAAGTGCAGCCGATAGTTGGCGAGCTTGATAAGGACGAAGAAAACAGTGATGGAGGAGCAGTAGATGCTCAGAGCCATTGTAGTGGGAGGCAAAGCCTGTGGAGAAGAAAGGAAGAGCTTAGTCATATTGAAATCAGCATTTCCTGAATCTCCTGACTCCACCAGGACAGAGTTTGATTTAATTCTTCAAGCTTTAGCACCACCAATTTCTTTTGATTTATATTGCAACACAGCCTCAGCACACTGCAAGATCTGATTTTGATATATTGGTAGATTAATAAAGTTTACTAGTCCACTGGGGAGAAATTGCCTGTAGCAAAGAACAGGAATATCAAAGGCAAAGTATCATGCCAATCATGAGTCATAATGTCCCAGAGAGAGTTCTTGCTGTTTTGAATGTTTGCTATTGTCCCTCAACTTCCTTCCATCATTTATCCTGCGCTGAATACGACCTTCACAAAAAACGCTAAAAAACTTGAAATTTGAAACACCTTCCCTTGGAAAGCTTGTGTTGTTTCTGCAGGGGAAGCAGTGGATGTTTTCACACAGTCTAGAAACTGTCAGCAACAACAATTTAATATAGAATCAGTGCCAAAGTGTTTACCGTCTGAGGTGTCAGTCACACATCACCATCTGCCTTAATAGCTAAAATATGTGACTGGCTAATTTCGGGATCATCAAAACAGATATAATCAGCAATATCTTATCTTTGATAAACTGCTTACAAAAATGTACTCTGTGTACAATAAGCTGCCATTGCACTGTTTGCACAATCAAGTCACATTACCCTTTCAGTATTTGTACTGTTTTGCCATAATGTCTCCTATTAATTGCCTATTCACAGGTTAATGTGTTTGACCTATAGGTAAGCTGTATGGCAGGAACACAGAGGTCACTGATGATGTCCCTTCAAAGACGAAGGGGTCCAATTTGGTTGTATTGTATTGTATTGTAGTGGAGGTTGGGCAGTAAAAGTCGAGACTATATATAACTGGGCTTTCCGCCTCTATTAATCACCATATAGCATGAAGCATCATCAGCCCGTGTATTGTCACTGGGAGTAATGCAGCCAGTGTCGCACCTTTATCAAAGCCCATGGCATGAAAATATTAGTGAACCACATTTCACGCTTTCTGGCTCCACCACTGTCACATCCAGGAGCAGCCATGCTTTCACTTACTGCATGCGGGAGAAAAATACTGCGACAGTGCCCTTTTTCCTGGCCTTGTGTTTCCATCAGCTGCTACATTGCGTGATATTCCATTCTCCCACAGCTTGTTGTTGTTGTTTTTTTCTCCCAAGGATAAACAGGGGCATTATTACAATTTTACCTAGGTAGTGTGGGCACCTTACACCCCACGCACGGCCTTGAACGTCACGTTCCTCAATAAAAACTCACCAGATGGAGAGACAAGGGCAACATCAGGAGGAATATCCACAGATAGAGGTGACATGAGTTGTTGAATTTATTCTGGTCCGGGTCGTGGTACCAGCCCCCGGTCAGGGATGCCCAGACCCCCTGACGGAGGGTTTGCACAACCTGTGAGCCCATCTCCCCTCCTCTCCCCTCCTCTCCGCTCAGGTTGGACTGGCTGATGGTGATGATGATGATGATGCTGGTGCTGCTAGGCTACAATGAAATGATCTCCTCTATCTAATCATGCATGCTACTGTCGCTACGCCTCCATGTTGGCGCGACGCAGCTTGACTCTTGAGTCTTTCCTTTCATGGCTCGGTCTTCCTCAGCGTTGTCCTCTCGTCTGCCGTTTCCCATCCCAGTGTCGATGCGTGCATTGCTGCTGCTGCTGCTGCCGCGGTCCTCATCATGTTCGTCTCTATCCTTCCTCTCTCTCCTCTCAGGCTTGCCTGTACAGATGCGCAGCTCTGACCACCCCCTCCCTTCTGTCTTTTTCACTCCTCCTCTCTCCATATTCATCCATGTCCATTATGCGAGTTCCACCTTCAATCAAACACTTTGCGACATGCAATCAAGCCACGTTGTGCATTACATACAATGTATTTGTAGCCTTGTAGCCTGTACAGACCATGAATTGCGCACAGTATTTAAAGGTTTTAGAGCTTACGTTTAAAAATAATGTACAGCGGTGCAAACATGCAAAACATATTATATTATATTATATTATATTATATTATATTATATTATATTATATTATATTATGCATGTGCACGTGTCTTTTTGTGGTCCACTATCGTTATAATTTCCCTGAAGGCGCGCTCTCTTCATGCATTCCTACAGTGACTCCTCCCCCTCCCCCCTGCTGCTGCTGCTTTGGTCACGTGTCAGGTGTCCACCAATGAGAGCACAGCGCAGCTTGCAACGGGAGCACCAGCCGTGTCCCCTGATCTTGTGTCCAGCCACTGCTGGGTCCGACTCCGTCTGGCGAGAACGTTAGCGGGATCTTGTTTTGATTAAAGTTGACGGATCTTTTTCAATTTCATATTTTATACCCTGTATTGTTTGTGTGGAAGTACAGGATATATACTGTGGTTCCCGAGTACTTATCCGTTGGCTGTTTTTTCCCCGCACATCACCGAAAGAGAAATAAACTTTGGAATTAACCGATCTCAAAGTGGAGAGGAGCAACTTTTCCAACAGGCTGACCTATGCTAAGCTAATCAGCTAAGCCAGAAGTCTGGAATGCAGTTGAAATTCCAGTTAAAAGTCCACAAAGGAGCGCACGAACCGTCCGTTTCACTATTCGGTGACTATATGAGATTTACTAGAGACTCTCACAGTGAAAGCTACTCCGCGGAGCCTCTCCGTATTTGGTCGGAATGGACGCTGCAGGTGCACCTCTTGAGGCACCTGCGAAAACTTGGTAACTTGAGAGCTAACTTTAGCCTTTTCACGTTAGCATTCAGCAGAACCAGACAGTGTTTTGTGATAGCTTTAAATTAATTTAGCTTGGCAGTTAATTGTTATTTTTCGCTTTACTGGCATTAACCAGGAGCTTTAAAAAGCGTCGTTAGCTAACCCGTATTTCGGCTAACTTAGCCGGCAACCTCGCTAGCTAGTTATTGACCCTCACACTTGTACCGGAGTGGCGACGTGGATACAGACGCGCTCTCCCACGGGACTTTGGACACAGTTTGACCACGGCGTGGAGTGCACAAGGATACCCCCTCCTCTGTTTTCATCGGATAGTGTCTTATATGTGACAGCATGAGGATTTCAAAAAGTTACAAGTTACCTTTTTAAAGTTTTCATTTTGTCCAAAAAGCGCTGCACCCTATGGTGTCGCTACGGCCACCGAGAAATGGATGTCTCGCAGGCCGCTTTCCCAAACGGTGAAGGGCGGCCGGGCGGCGGTGGGACCGGGGAACATGCTTGGGCAGAGTCCCCCTCAGTTCGGGCTTGGGCTCACTCTGCCCCGCTGTGCCCAACTCGATCCCTGTGGACAGCTGCTTATGACTACGAGGCGAGCGGCGAGGACGAACTCAGCCTCAGGCGAGGTGATGTAGTAGAAGTCCTGTCCAAGGACGCTGCGATCTCCGGGGACGAGGGATGGTGGACGGGGAAAATCAACCACAGGGTAGGGATTTTCCCTTCCAATTATGTCACCTATCAGCCCGCTATATACCGTCTCCCAGCTACAAGTGTGTCGACGGGGGTACCAGAGCGAGTCCCGAGCTCGCCCGTCCAGATCCCTTTTAGTGAACTGGTATTAGAGGAGATCATAGGCGTGGGTGGATTTGGTAAGGTTTACCGGGGCACATGGAAAGATCAGGAGGTCGCTGTGAAGGCGGCTCGGCAGGACCCAGATGAAGACATAACGGCAACCGCCGCCAGTGTTAAACAAGAAGCTAAACTTTTCTCGATGCTTCAGCACCCCAATATTATTAAACTGGAAGGGGTGTGTTTGGAGGAGCCTAACCTGTGCCTGGTCATGGAGTATGCCCGAGGTGGGACACTGAACCGGGCGCTGACCGGAAGGCGAATCCCTCCACACATCCTGGTCAACTGGGCTGTGCAGATTGCACGCGGGATGCACTATCTACACGAGGAGGCCGTGGTACCCATTATCCATCGTGACCTGAAGTCTAGCAACAGTAAGCAAAGATCGATGTGTGTGTGTGTTTGTGATTAAGACAGATAAATTGAGGTAACTTAACTTGCAGAAGGATATTTTGCACTTCATCTTTTAGTCATTTATGTTATGTTAGTTATGCTTTGGTTTCATTCTGCTCTGTCACTCTTTAGGTGTTAACTAACTCTTTTAAATCACTTGTTTCATGTTTCCATCATCCCAGAATATGTGTCAGTGCTGTTTTGCAACTCCACATGTACCAACCTGTCACACAAATAATGATAGTTTACCATTTCCTTAGTCACATGACACATTTGGAAAGGTTCACTGTATGTTTATTAGTTATTTGGAAGCACAGCATTGTGACTGCAATATGAGGTTGCCTATTTCCCACAGCTGCCATAGTACTGCTCTGTACTCATGACGTCTTACAGTTTAAGAAGTTTGTGGTTTATGAAGTGGTGGGGGATGCTATTAAGAGGATGTGAAATGAAGTCAGTTTGCTCAGCTGGGCTGCTCCCTCTTGACTCATTCCTTATCCTTTGACTAACACACACACACACACACACACACACACACACACACACACACACACACACACTTGCTTTCCAGACCCCTCTCCACCAGCAGGTGAAATGCTGTTCAAATAAATTCGGAGATTTAACAAACATATTAGGTAGACACAATCTGTCAACACTATCGGGCCATGTCCTTCATCACCACCTGGCAGTAGCAAAGTTCATAGGTGGAAAAAGAAATCATATGGAAGTTTGGTTTAGGCTTTTTAAGAAATATAACCTTTATGTAATGGATTTTCAACAGAACTACAACTGCTATAAACATTTGGTTTAGGAAAAAAATTCTTGAGTAGGTCTCACTTTTGAGCCTTTAAAAAATAACAGTTCATTTAGCTGCACTTGGTACAGTGTATTGGGCCAACTGTGCCGGTTCCACCATGGACTGGTAATTGACAACAGGCCAGAGAACTTTCCCAGGACTGAATAATGAATGGACAGGTCTTGATGAGAAAAAGGTTCTGACTCGCATACCCACTGACACAGGCTGCTCACTTCAACTCAGGTGTGTTTATGTGTGTAATTTGACTCCAAACACTTTTGTGACCGGAGACGCTTATCAACCCTGGGCCATGTGGGGAACCGCTCCAGTGCACTGATCCCTTATCTCCAGCTCTGGGAAGCAGTGTGTGAACACAGGGGCGAAACCTGTGAAATGTATACATACCAGGCCCTCTGTAATCATAGGTCAGGATTTGTGATTGGATTTTAAAAAGAACTGTGATGCACAAAGTCCCATGTATGCATGTATATGTTGTTATTGCTTCTGTTTCCAAATTTTTTCAGTTATTGGTATTATTAATTTTTAACAGCTTTATGATAAACTACTTAATATAAAATGTGCTGATTTGGGTCTCTCTGTGGTTCGAAGTTAGCAGATACCACTAAAGATGTGATAAACGTCACACTCCTCTCCGCTGATGTGACAACCACACAATCTTGTGATCTACTTCATTGGTCACAGGCATGGAGAGTCTCCTAGTCACAGAAATGCTTGAGCAATGTGGTATGTTGCGGTGGCATGCCGTAAAGGCTAAGACTATGGCAAATGTAAAGGGAAGTGACAAAAGTAAGAAAATTTGTACTAAAGTGCTCTAACTGAGGCATTTTTTTGCTATGGCAATTAAAAAAAACAAAAAAAACTTTTAAAAAGTCATAAAAGCACAGCTCTGGCTTCCTCTAACAGTCCAGTCCAAAGACATGTTAACTTAAATTAACTTGTGATTCTGTATTGCCCGTACCCCGCCTCCTGGCCTATGGTAGCTGCGATGCCCCCCCCCCCCCCCCCCCCCCCCCCTCTCCCTGCTCTGATAAGGGCAAGCGGAAAGACGATGGATAAAAGCACATAAGCTGTGAAATGCTACAATAATAACATACCAATGTGTAAGAGCGCTTCCCTACAAATACATATTTTCAATATATGCAATTTCAGTTCATGCTGTTTTGGGTGTTTCTATTGATAATCAATGTTGCCTATGGATACTGTTAACTTATTAATAATAATTTGGACTATAGCTGTAAAAAGAATTAAGTTACTAGCTTTTGTAGCCATCAGTAAAACATAATCATCACATTATTTTGAAATGCGTTTCATGTTGATGTGTTTTTGTGCATGTGACACACTTGATTAAATGTTATGAACAGTGTAGAAGAGCCCCACCCTTCAAGCAGTCTTATTTAGGATGAAGCTTTGTGTTAATTATAGGGCAGATGGAGAGAAAGGATTTAACTGCTGTTTAGACTGTTTGAGCTAATCGGATGTTTGGTGAACATACACAAACAGACTCCTCCAAACAGGCACAGTGCTGCTAACGCAACTCTTTATGTTTGTCCTGCCACTTCACTGTGACCTAGATATAGCATAGGCTTTTATTAAAGGAGGACCGTTTAAACTAAAATTAGGAGACTTTGATTAGTGTGTTTCTGCAAAGTTGAGGTATAATGAAATTCTGAACTCAGATCTCTATCATATAGCTGAATGAAGAGCACAATAATAAGCAATGCCTACAGAAAGAGGACAGAAAATTATGCCAATAGTCGATTTTTCAGAAGTCTGAAAATCTGAAGTCAATATAAAGTGTACTCTAAATAAACTGAGAATGGATGGCACTGTATGTGTTTGTTTAGAACTAGGGTAGCAAGTTCACAAAAGACTCTCTCCTAAACACAAATAGAAAAATGGCACCCTGGGGCGTGTTGGGTTGTTTTCCCAGTTACAAAAAAAGAGGGGGAGATCCAGCTTAGGAAAGTTGTTGCATCTGCTAATGTTCCCAGTTGTCTGTTTGCTTTGGCATTATGTGTGCTTAGGTCAATCAGAAAAGCATCTAAACATTTGTACTGATCCACATTAATGGCATTTGATACCTGTTGTGCAGTTTTTGTCATTTTTAATTCTGTTGTGTTTTGAGTTGTTGATTTTGAGACATTTTGTTCTGTCAGACTGTTTCATTGTCTTCTCTCAGTTTAAACCAGGACTTGTACAAGTATACACTAAACTTTTCCAGCTTTACTCAACTCTCTGTCTGTCATTTATCAACTTGGAGTGTACACATGCTCCACACAGGCAAACATACAGCTATTTGATCAATGATTAGCCTGTAAAGTAATATGTTGGAAGTCAGCAAGATTTGCCCAATCTCCTTTGTGTTTTTCAACCTAATCTGTAAAATCCCAGCCTGCAGGGAGGAATGTTGCTAATGAGGATAAAAGCTTAACATACGTTTACACAATGGACTGGTCAAGCAGCGGTTGCTAGGCTACTGTGGCCAGAAGAATGGCTAGGACTCAGAGGGTCTCAAAGCCCTCGTTTTGTTTTGTTCCGTTCATATTTAATCTCCCAGAGAGCAGTGGTACTCTTTTATTGCCACAAACTAAGGGGGTTTCCCTTGTTACTTCGTTATTTTCCTCCTTGCTCCATCCTCCTCCATCCACTTGCCACTTCTTATTTTTTGTGGCTGCATTTGAGCCAACATTTGTTTTTGTGGTTTTTTTTAATCTTTAAAACATTAGCGTTATAATTTAAGCAGAGAGTTCTTCTTTAGCTTTGTCCATGCTCACATCTGTGTGTACCATAGTTGCCTTTTCATCCACAAAAAAAGAAAATGGGGTTTGTTGTGGTGACATTTATGGAGTTTACTATGAAACAACCCTGCGGCTTGTTATGTGCACTGGAAATTTTCCAGAGTAGCTCTGTGTTGGGCATGCAACTTGCATGTTTAGGGTTTCTAAATGTAATTTGTACTGTATGTCCACTAAACAGACAGGGACTTTTCCTGGCTAAAACAGGGCCTCTGATGGTTTAGCATATATCTATTCAATTCTGGTCAAGAATGCCAAAGTTTTATGAGGATAAGTTTATGGCTAATTTTGGTTGGAATATTTTGCCGTTTTCACCCTTATTGTGCTTACTTTGTTTAGTATTATTCATTAGATTCATCCAGGTCCTCCCTTTTTGTGTTCTAGTCCACTATGACTTGCATAATTTTCCTAAAGTTTGAGCAGGTGGATTCCATAAAGCAGCAAATATGAGCAGGAAGTCACACTGAAACCTGGCCCTGAGCCAGCACGCATAATCATTGGAGTTTCACACATATTTTGGTGCAAGCAGTACTATGCCAGGAATGCATGCTTGAATGCCATTGAAACTGATAGAGTTCATTTGGAGCGTGTGCAACTGCATCCTCCCATCAGTCTCTGCCTTTTGTTAGACTTCAACACACTGTCTCTGTGTTCCCCTCCCTCTCCTTGTTTCTCCACACACTCATCTTCTGTAGATTAGTGAAGACCTGACAGATGCCACAGAAGCGCTGGAGGGATTTCCTTTCAGACCTGTACACTGAAAGTGGCACAGATGTAGCAGGCAGTGAAAAATTTAGAATAGCCAACACCACTGAAGGATAATATTGTGACAGCCACCAGATCTCAGTGCTTAGCCTTGTGCATAACAAGTGACCCTGTTATGTCCAGTGCTGTATGTTGCACACATAAATTATGGGCTTCTCAGCCAGGTTATAACTGGCTGGAAAATGCCTCAACATACATGGATTCAAGTAGAAAATGCAAGTTTTCCAGGCTTAAGAAAGGCAGTAAATAGGCCCTGTAATCATATTGTGAATAATAAATGTATCTGCCATGAATGTGTTTTTGCTGGAGCTAAAAATAGATTTGGAAGAAATTACTGAAGTAGAAAGCAGTGATTCACCTATCAAATATTTTGTACCGAGACTAAGAGGAATGGCTTACCGGCTTGGTGCACTGTTAGCTTTGTTAACTTTGAATAGCCTTTGCTATCATCCCTCGAAATCATCTTACTTCTGTAGGAACAACTTTTTAGACAAAACTTCTTTAAACTCTGTTTTTCTTTACTAGGTCACAATGCAAAGCGAAAACAGGCTTGAAGTAGCTCAGAAATAGTGTCCCTGGAGATAATCTTTTTTTTTCTTCACTG